TCTCATATACGAAGCCATTTTTTTTCCTACGAATACTTGAGGTTTTTTTGTTTTGCTTTGCTTTGGTGGGGATTATAAAGGATAGCAAAATGTTTGTTGCTTAAGTGGCTTTAGGAAAAATTAAAAGTCAAGTCTGGGGCCACAAAAAAAATTTAAAAATAAATCTCCATTTAAAACCCATGTTTAAATGTCTATAATGCTCATCTGGAGAAGAGAGGAAGGACTTGGGCATTTTAACACCAATCATATCTGAAGGTTTCTCCACGGGAGGGGATGGAATGGGAGGCCTTTCACGCTGCAAAAGGCAATTCGGACGTTCTGATGTAGCCAAAGCTCAAAACCTGTGGTGAGGGATGTTTCTTTCCTGCTTCAGAGTAGACTCGGGAGTCACCTTACGGTTATGGAAGAAATTCGTCGTGGGGGCTTCTGTGATCGTGAGATTTGGTCACTGGATCGCCGAACAGTTTTTCTGCCCAAACCCACCAGTGGCTCGGCCCTGCTCGTCCAAGCCGTCCCGGGCGAGCCGGGCTGCTGGGCACTTGCCCCGCCCTCCACTTTCGTGTCAAAGAACTGGTTGGAGGACTGGATTTCACCTTCTGTGCTCAACTTTGAAAGAGCTGATCCCTTGAAAAAAGCTTTTTTTTCTTGAAATTTTTTTTTTTTTAAATTTCTAAGATTTTTCAGGCTGAGTAGGACCAAGATTGGGCCTTCCCTGCAGCTGTGCCCTGGCGATGCCCAGGGCCCGGGTGCGGTGATAGCATCACCTGTGTGTGAGCCTCTGGAAGGTGGCAGCTCCGGTTCCAGTGTCCACAGGCTCACCCAGACCACGGGACCCGTCCTCAGTGACTCTTACTCATGGTCTGGGCTTGGGCTCGGAACTCTGCGCTTCGGAGAAACTCCCTGGTAATTCTTCGATTCGGTGCCGGCAGCCCACAGGTCAGACGCGGAGCACTGCTGTCCTGGGAACGGGCCTGCCTTAGTTTGGGGGCTGTTTCTTTGGGGTTTTTGGTCCTTGCTTCTCCCCAGCACTCCACCTTCCTGTCTTGGCCCTGCCGTGGTCTGGCGAGCCCGTTTGGACAGAGCTATGTGACCTTCCTTCCTCCCACTGAAGCGGGATGTTCCCGGGAAATTTTAACTGCATAAATTTTTACTGGCCCTCTTTAGACCATTCATCTAAACAAATATCAAGTATGGTGGCAGTGAGGGGAAAGTTTTTCTGCAATCTGTCAATCTGTTAAAAAAAAGAAAAAAAAAAGCGTGTCAGTGTAATTCCACGTGGAAGCCAGGGTACTGACCCCGTGCGGCAGATGCGAGTATTCCGAGGCGCATCGGCCTTCGCGAATATTTACACGTTCTTTGCCAGCACTGAGCGTGGAGTTACGAGGAAACTTAAGCATGGCCCCAGAGTATCTGTAGGAAAAAAAGCAGGAGAGTTGAATTCCTCCCTTTCCTCTCTCTGGCCCTGATCCTTACTTAACAAAAATGTCAGTGTCTAGCTCTAAAAGAAATAGCTGTTCTTACAGAGAAAGTTCTCTTTGTTGAGCACCGAGTCAACTCAGCAGCAGGTTCACAGAAAACGAGAACTGAAGTCAGGAGCGAGCCCCTTCAACTATGTCGTCATGATTCTGACCAGCAGAAAGAGAAACTGGAAGTCCAGATGTGAAATGTTGTCCCTACCCATGTTCTGAGGACAGTTCCTTAGCACCAACTGGGTGTCCCCTGAGTCAGTTCTGACAGTGGCCACCTGGAGTCAGTGCTGACCCCACAAGTCAAAGGGCAAGGTCCCCAGTGAGAGTGTCCTCGTTTCAGACACCAGCTCAGCAACTCAGAGCTTGCCTTCCGGACACCCAATGGACACAGGCAATCCTGAGACTCAGGCCACGATGGCGTCACCACGTTCGTGAATTTCCTGATGACGACGAAGGGAAGTGACGGCGACAGCAATGCAGTTCTCCTGTCATTCCTGCGCATACACGTTACGCTTGCTCCTTTGTCCCTGGCAGCTCCTCCTCCTCATGGGACCCACAGTCACTCTGCTCCTCTTGAATCTGGTGAGGAAGATGCTGGCAGCTGCCACCTCAGGTCTCTGATGGCTACTTATGCAGATGCTAAAATGCTTTACCTGCTAACTGAGCATCCAATACACCAGTGGAGTTGACGCATCAAATTAACCATCACAGCGCTCTTCACTGAATGCAGTAGAAACAGACTGTAATTAACGTAAAGAGAAAGGGTATCAGGGTACTCATCCAGTCAACAAAGAGAGAACCAGAGAACTTCATGGAATCAGGGCCCAGCTCGGATATGGCCATGGGGACAACGTGCTTTGGACACCATGCCTGGGCCATGACCCTGGACCGTGGCTGCCGTGCCACCATTCTTGATTTCACCTTTGAGTCGCTCCCTCAAGTTATATATAGTACAGGGTGGGGGGTGTGATTGGCTTTGATGAAGTCATGAGCCTCTAGTGCAGCTGCGGGTGGGGAAGAGGGGAGTGATCTGTCATGGCAGATGGGACTGAGTCTCACCTATCTAGGAATCCCCTCAAGTGAGAAGTGTTCCTGAAAGCTAGGTAGCCAACTATAAATAACTGCAACAGCTGGGTACGGAATTCTAGGTTGATGGCATCAATTTTATGGTATTATTTAATTTTCCAGTGTGTATTTTTGTTAAGAAGTTTACTATCGATCTACTTTGTGTTCCTTTGTAGGTAATTTTCCTTTTAATCTCAGGGTTGCTTTTTAAGAATTTCTCTATGTATTTGATATACTACAGTTTCATCAGATGTGGCTAGATAGGAATTTATTTGGTCTATTTGGGACTCATCGTGACTTTGCAATTTAAAGGTGTTTGTTTGCCTTTCTTCCGTTCTACTATAGAAAATTCCCAGCCATTGTATCATCAAATATTACTTCTCCTCTATTACTATCATCAGAAATTCCTATTTAGAAATACGTTGGACTTTTCATTCTATCTTCTGTGTCTCTTTACAGAGAGAGAAACCTATTTTGTGGCCATTTGACTCTGCTATATTTGAAGAGGTTTGTTGAAATATACTGTTTAATTCTTTAAACAACCAATGTTCTTTTTCATATCTACCTGTTCTTTTTTCATGTTTCTCCCCCATAATGTTCTTGTTTTCAGGTTTCTAGTCCTTCTTTTATCCCTTTCATTAATTAAGGTATCTTCCTTTACAGCCTCGTCCAGAGACTACTCTCACCTGCAGTTTCTGGAGTCTGGGAATCTTCTCCCGCATTCCAGCTCTCCTCTTGAGACACTGGTTTGTGTGGCTGGTTCTTTTTTTGTTGAGGGGTTATATTCAGCAGGAAGTTTTTGTCTTGCGGTGGTGGTTGGTTGCTTTTCACGGAGAGAGTCCTTGGCACCCGACACTGTGAAGATTTCCATCCAGTGCCGCTCCTGGGTTGTAGCTGGAGCTACGGTTGGGGTGGTCCTGCAAGCTGAGGTGGGCAGGTGGGAAGAATGAACAGATTTAGAATTGGAAAACCATCTCAAAACGCTGTCTCATCTCTCCTTCCAGTATAGGTCACTGACCTGACTTACTGTTTGTCTCTTTCCTTTATAAAAATCATAAAATCTGTATGTTCTCTCCTTCAGGGCCAGGAAGTCCAGGAGTGCAAGTAAGAAAGTCCAGTTCAAACAGGATTTCATCCATTAGGTGACTCAGTGGCTTATGTCATTGAAAGGGGCAGAGGTAGCCTGAAGATGACGTGGGCTCTCATGTCCACTGACATCCCCATTGATGAAGAACCTTTCTCTGAAGTTTCCTCCTTTCCCTGCATCTCTCTGCCCTCTCTAGAACCCTCCAACATAGCTACAGATTGATTAATCCTGTAGAATCTCAGCTCTAAATATGTCACTCTGTGGCTCAGAAACCTCCCAAGGCTCACTCTGTGCCTCTGGTAGGAAGTCCACGTCACTGTGGTCGGCACCCTAGGCCACCCATTTGTCCAGCTTTATCTCACCTGCCGCCTCCTCACGTGTCCCAGAATCCCTCCTAACACAATGACTCTTCTCTCTCCCGCTGACCTGCCCCTCTGTGAGCTCCCCGTGGTGCTTATCTACCTGCGGTCCTGGCACGTAGCATCCGTATTCCGACTTGCATTTGAGTTACTGTGTACATGTCTCACACCATCCCTTGAATCTCTAAGTTCTTGGAGGAGGGAAGCTGCATCTGACTCATCTTCTACTTGCCCTGGTGCCAGGCAGAAAGCACGTCACGGAAGAGCTGCTCCGACAGGCCTCAGTGAATCAGTGATTAGGTTAAACCAGGCTAGTGGCTCTTTCCTGTAACACACGGGGCGGGTATATACACTTCAGTGGTCTCACAGAGAACCGCTGGCTTAGGAGCCGTTGCTTTAGTGCAGAAGGGCTCACCCCTGGCCGCGAGGCTGGAGTACAACATGAGAGCGCGTGGGCCTGCACCGTGTCCCCTTCTCTTCACGCCCTCTCCACCCCCCAATCCCGCCACCACTACCGCTTTCTCGGCCTCCTGCTTAGGCCCTGCCCCATTCCACTTTTTCTCAGTTTGCTCTCCTGGCCACAGTAGCTACCTTGAAAGCCCCTGTGCAACTTCAAGAGGGCCCCTGTTTGAAATACAGCAAGTCCTGACTGGTACCATCTGATCATGTGAACGTGATGTCTTCCAAGTCATGCCCCTAAGGGGTGTCCTGGGCACCTCGTCCACAGGCCTTGCACACAGCAGGGCTCACAGCATGCCTCTGCTGCTTAAGCGTCTCCATTCGAGCCAACATGTGCCCAGGAGATTCCAGAGTGGACAAAACAGAGTACATAAAATGTTCACGCAAATAATCAGGAACGTGATGGGGCTGTCGAGTGACCGAATCTGTGCCTGGCAGGGGCCTCATTCACTGCTACCCTGAGTGGAGTACGGTGCCTGGCACATGGCAAACCTTCCCCATAGGTATTCAAATGAAGGAACGAATGAGCTAATGGGCACATCTTTCGATCTCCTCCAACAGATTACAACAGCAGCGAACTGAAAACAGCCTGCAGGAAGCATGAGCTTTATGTGAGCTTCCAAGACCTGGGATGGCAGGTGAGCTCTCTGGACGAGAGGAACAAAGGTCCTTTCTCAGCAGTTTCTTCTCATCTGAACAGCAGCAGCTGTTACCAAAAACCTAGAGCTTCAGGGCTGAGATGATTCCCTCCGTGGAAGCACTGAGGAGCCCTCAGGCTCCTGGGGTGGGACAGAGAAAGGCCCGGCCCCCTGGTGTGCATCAAGCACCCACAGCCACCTTTGCTGGGGCTCCCCATCTCTGTGATCCCCTCAAAACCAGTAGCCACATTTCCCAATACTCTCACCTTATTCTTTCAAAGACCACAGGACATATTTATTTGGGCATTCAAACAAATTTTAATTGTTTTAAGACAGGGTTGACTTTTCAATGGCTATAAATTGGCTCACCCAGATTATCCAGAAGAACACAGATGTTTTGCTCCATACCCGAGAGCTACCACCAGTTTGTAAGAAAAGCAGCAAATTTAGGTGATGAGTGACAGAGGATAGTCTCCGTATGCAGGTGGCATTACTTCAATGGGAGGACTGTAGGTTCCTGGCCAGGCTCCTCAGGTCCAAGTACGCAGAGCCGGCCCAGGCCCATTTCCAGGCCTAACAGGCCGGTAGCAGCTACGGCCGTGTGGGCCTGTTGAGGGAGCGAGGTTTCTGCAGTCAGACCGACCAGGTTCATCTCCCTATTTTGCCATTTGAATGTGAACTTGGACAAATCCCTCGGTCTGTGTCATCTGCCTCCTTGCCTGTCCAAAGTGAGTGATGCCTTCTCACGGTGTTACTGAGAGCACAGATGCCGTGAGAAGCGTACATTCATCGTTTGTTGCTTCCTTTTGCTTTAAATGAAGGACTGGATCATCGCACCCAAGGGCTATGCTGCCAATTACTGTGATGGAGAATGCTCCTTCCCACTCAATGCACACATGAACGCAACCAACCACGCGATCGTGCAGACCCTGGTGAGCTCCGGGACTTTTCACCTTTGAAGCAGGATCACAAGCTGAGACCAAGGGTCATTTCTAATGGTACCTTTTTCTCCTTCTGTTTTGGAACAGGTTCACCTTATGAATCCTGAGTATGTCCCCAAACCATGCTGTGCGCCAACCAAACTAAATGCCATTTCAGTTCTTTACTTTGATGACAACTCTAATGTCATCTTGAAAAAATACAGGAATATGGTTGTAAGAGCTTGTGGATGCCACTAACCTGAAACCAGTTGCTGGGGACACAGATTCTGCCTTGGATTCCTACATCACATCTGCCTTAAAAAACATACAGAAACACAGCTGAGTGGGACGATAAGACTTTGAAACCATCTCATGCTGGTGCCTTACTGCCCACGGGAGATTTTAAAGGACGTTGTTAAGAATTTGCTCACTTCATAAACAACGTGAGTAGTTGCGGGTCTATAGGAAGCTGAGTTTGAATGTCTGTAGTGTAAGGTCTGGTAACTGCAGAAATGTAACCTTAAGCCCCGTCCCCCCCCCAAAAAAACTCCATCAAAATTAGTTTTAATTATAGATCGAGCTATTTGGGGTGTTAGTGAGTAAACAGGGAAATTCTCAAAGGAGTAAAAGTATTTTTGGCTAAGTTATCAGCCGGTTCAGTACTGTCCCCATCAAAGGCAGATTATTCAGATAACAGAAACTGGGGTGAGGGGGAGGATGTCTCTATTCACAGATTTCATTCCCAGGAAGGCCAATTTCGTATGGGATCCACATCCCAGGCTGTAACCAGGCCTCTATGGAGGTGCCTTTTGTCTCAATTGTTGCTGTTGTTTGTGCTGGAGTTTTGTTGGTGTGAAAATAAATATCCTATTCAGTCAAACCATATCATTTCCACACCTTGACCCTCCATTTGCTGTATTCTCTGCTAGTACCAAAGGTAGACCGTCGCACCTTGAGGTGAGGCTGCCAGGGTTGAGCATTTGTAGGCGCCCTCCTTTTAACCACGTACATGTGACAGCAGTTCTGCACCCTCTTCTTTATGGGAGTAGCTCTTTGGCAAGCACATTAACCGCAGGAGGGTAGATTCTAACATCTATTTCAGTAAGACGCTCTATGCTTGGCTGTACGGCATCCCCCGTCACAGGGGTAGGACCAACGAAGGAAGGAAGGTGAGGAAGGGGCGCCCAGCCTTTAAGGTGGGTTTGGGGGAGATGAGTGTGCTGTTTATGAAACGAAATCCCAGTTTTCTCTTATAGAAAGTTAAGACTCAGATTAAATTTTAGACTATTTTTAAAATGTCTTTTTCACAATCAATTATGTACTGGGAAACCAATTTCATACTAAACTGATTAAATAATACATTTATAATCTATAACTGTTTGCACTTACAGCTTTTTTTGTAAATATAAACTATAATTTATTGTCTATTTTATATCTGTTTTGCTGTAACATTTAAGGAAAGACCAGACTTTTTAAAAAAGAGTTTATTTAGAAAGTATCATAGTGTAAACAAATTGTACCACTCTGACTTTCTCTGAATACAAGACTCATGATGCAAAGCTGAAGCAACACTCCTGACGGTTGTGCTTCTCTAGGAAGTTGGATTTTTTTTTTTAACAGAACATCTGTGAATCACATGTAATTAATAAAGATTTCCTTTAAGGCAGAGGTTGGTCGAGCTGCTGCTCTGTTATCTTCTGCCTCCGACAGTCTAAGTGGTCTTGTTTCTAAGATTCCTGCCATTCGTTGCTGGGGGCCAAGTGTCAATCAGCATCCCCCCGGCATGGGGAGTGAAGGGTGTTGGACACAGAGTGGGTACCATGAGAACTAACTCCGTGCTAGAGCGGACACACACATACCCTGAAGGAGTTCAGTCCTACCACTGCCTATTGCCAAGGGTGACAGTAAAAGTGTTTAATCACGAGGGTGGCCAGAGTTAGAGGACGCCACACCAATGGCTGACACGGCCGTGCATACCAGGGCCGGAGCGGTCCTGCTGGCATGTCTTTGGTCTTGACATCAAATGTATCCCACTCTTCACACATTAGAAGGTCGACCTCCTTGAAGGGTGGAACAGACAAGCTATAACCTCTACAAGGACTACTTTGGATCGGGGCTGCAGGGTCTCGCTGGTGTCTGGATACCCAGGCCTAGGGAAGCCCATCTGGTCCTGTCCCCCCAGGTGGCAAATACAACCAGAATCTTTCTATGAGTTAATGGAATAGTCAGGAGCCTCGTGGACCCTTCTGTGCCTACACTTTCTATGGAAGACATCAAATTTTAAAGTTCACATGGACTCTGGCTTCGTGTTAACACGACGCACTAACGAAATCTTTCACCGGGTGAGAAACAAACGGAAATATCCCTTGAACAGTAACTGATGTGACAAGTATTAACACACACGTAAAATTATGGCATCAGCATTGTCTTACTCAGGCACGTGTCAGAAGTACCGCTGCTTGCGTTATGGCTAACCTCTCCCGATGAGAGAAGTGTTAACAAAAACAGAGAATCCAGTAGTGGATGTGAGGGTATCTTCCAGATGTGGGTTTTTGTTTTTAAATCTGCTCCAAGCTACGGACCTACCACATTATTAAGTCAGTTGTGACCTTCAGATCAGAGAAACGTCAACACTGCCACAAAGCCACCTTTCCAGAACTCATGGGCAGTTAAAAAAAACTATACTTTAAATGATGCTTTCCCCCAAATCACTCAGGAGCCAAAAATAGTCCAGCAATTTGATTTTCCTCAACTCTATTTTAGTCTCAAAGAAAACCATTTAAATTTCATCCAGAGAAGGTTCAAGGGGATGTATTGCCACTGAAAACGTTTAGTTTACACAGTGACCGTGAGTTACACATTTACTTAGAGAAACTTAGTAAAGAATCTGTAGGGTGTGTTGGTTTAAGAAACACACACAAAGAAGATACCACAAGTTTAGTACGTTCAGCTTTCTGAATAGCCATCATCTGAAACTCGGCGACGTCTATGTGATTCGACTCCCGCACGCTGGGTGAGTGCGGCCAGGCCGCAGAGGCGACTTCAAGTGGGTTTCTATAGCTCGTCCTTGGCCTGGCCCAGGACAAAGCGGTGTAATGATTCAAGGTCTCTCCCTCCACTGTGCTCACTGACTTTTTTCCCTCCACGGAAAAGCAACAACGTGGGATAGCCTCGTACCTTTAAAAAAAAAAAAAAAGTATAAAAACCAGTAGTTAGGATCACACACAAAGTGCTTTTTAAATAAAACCAGATAAGCTTTTACAGTTGTGGCTGGGAAATTCTGTGGCTAGTTTTTCAAGGTGTACAGATCATGGAAAAAGGACCAGCTCATTTAGAAAGCAAAGCCATAGGGCTGGGTATTCACTTTTTAATCCAAAATGACATTAGAGATTAGTGTCAAAGGAATGATGTAAAGGATGGCCCAGGGATCTGGTGAAAATACAGATTGGATTCAGTGGGCCTGGGAGTCTGCATTTCTGACACACTCCCTGGGGACGCCCTGCTGGTCTACAGACCCGCGGTGAGAACAAGACCCACAAGGATACACATTCTTCAGCTGCAGCCACCTCCCTTCTCCTTTATGAACGTGAAGGCACAAAAACCAAGTGGCATCTGTTAAATGGTAAGTAAACTATGTCTGGGATTGCATCTATTCTCAATCTAAGGTCATAAACCTCAGAGGCTCCAAAAATGTTTTAAGAATATAACACACACAAAAAAACATAAAATCACAAGTCTTCTAGGCCATTAGATTGAGCTCACAGCCTAGAATGAAGGCAACAGTTAACCCGAGCACAGGAGTGGCCTGCGGCATGGCCCTTTCCGATGGAAGTTTGTGTTTGACTGTTTGTTTTATTCAGCCACTATATGTATTTTAGAATGCTGGCTTAGGTCTGAAAAAGAGCCATGCAGGTGTTGATGACAAGGGTGATGAGCCAGTGGCTGGTCAGTCAATGAGAGTGGCCACGTAGGCGGCTCCATAGTCTTGGCGCTTGGAGTCTCAGTATGCTCAGCAAGGCCTAGACACCCCCAGTGAAATGTGGACACTACTAATGAAAGCAGGCAAAGAAGCAGAATGCCTTTCCTCAGAGTATCTCTTTTGCTTCTCAAAACAGAACAACTCAAAAGAACAAAGAAGACACTTTGTTGAGAGGATGAGGGCAGAGTGAGCTATCTTGGTTGAGTCCCCAAGACCAAATCACAGCTCCACTTGGGATCTGCTCCCAATACTCTGCAGTGCTCATAATTGTTCTCATCCAGGTATACCCACCGAGTACTTGCTGCAAGTATTCCGTTCAGCCGTGCAGTCTACTTCAGCGATCTTGACCTCTGCCAAACCGGGGAAGTCCTTTTTAGCAAGTTCCTCCCAGGTAGGAGCCAAATTCTTGCAATGACCACACCTAGGAACAGAACAACAGCCGCTTTGTTGAATTCTTGGGTCGAGATCATTCACCTTCACTTTACTGTCAAGACAAGCCCTGTTTTGTCTGTATGAGACAGTCAACAATTGCCTAGAAATTAATATAACATCAAATTCTCCATTGGGTGCCCACTAACTCTTCCTCTTCCTCCCATCCCAAACAAGGAATTCAGAATCAACCCAAGGTAGACTTTTGGGTAACCTGATCGAAGCAAGCCAGTCTGAAAACAAGTTTAGATTTTGAGACCATTTCTGCAATATGGTGCTTCGAGCTGATTTATGGACACACCGTGCACAGGAGTGGACGGGAAACAGGACAGACTCCACGCAGTGTCTAAAGAATCAGTTGAATGCCAAAAACATTTTAGATTTGATTGCTTATGGTCTCAAAATTTCAAAACAACTTCAAGCTTCCTTGATGCTTCAGCAGTTCGGTGTGAACGTTGAGGCCACAACTAAGTTTGGCTCAAACCCTCCCTCCCAGCCCCGACTTCAGTTCCTTTTCTGTTCCCCCTGCCCCCGCTACATGAAAAGTTCCCCTTCAGGGAAAGGGGATCCTCTTTCCTCACACTGAATCTATGTCACTTTAAGTTGTTAAAAAAGCATTACTTACTAACATTTCTGTTTCCCAAGAATAAAAACTGCACAGCTCATTCGAGTCGTGTGCTCATTCACCTTTTACCCCTGCTGTTACGGTTTTCCGTGGGAGTGCGACAAACTAAAGAGCAAAAGTGACATGTTTATCATGTTTAGGTAGAGAATCTAACACTCTCCTAAACACTCTGCCTTTCCAAATGGATTATTTGTGAAGACAAAGCATTATTCCTATTTTATAGTTGAGGAAACCAAGGTTCAAAGGAATTAAAGACACCGAGGTTATGGTAGTTCACGGTAAGTCCTGGAACCTGTCATCTTCCCACCCCACCACGCCGCTTTGGTCTCAGACTATTTGCAACCCATTTAGGCTCTGGTCTCCAAGACCACAGGGCACAAAGGTTTGGGTAATTGGATGACACACTGAATGGCTCTAACAGAAAGCTGAGCTCTACTGGATCTCTCTATAACATCATTTAAAAAAAATTGAGGAAAGTCACACCATGATGTTCATTGTTTCTGTATTAATAGCTGAAAAAGCAATCTATTTGGAAAAATACGCAGATGCCATAAAACTTAAGTTTTGTAAGGCCATCATAATTTGCCTCCATTTTTATGTTTTCTCCAAAGTAGACTACACTTTAAAATAGCCTCGTTCTCTATAAATGATTGTGGAGGCCACTGAACTCTTAACATATTTGAATATAGCAGCAGGATAATACTTTCTCATTTCCTACAGCACGACCCATGTGTAAATGTAGTATTAACATGTGCCCAACAGCGTCTGGAGGGTTAGCAAATGAGTTGAAAAACATGACGTGACTTAGTACACTGGGACAAAGTAGTTTCTAATTAAACAGCCACTTACCACGGAGCATAAAACTTGACAAAGGTTATTCCTTCTGCAATAGTGTCATCAAAGTTACTTTCAGTGAGCGCCAACACAGTGCCCTTCAGGGGAAGAAAAAGCCACAGTTGAAATACATCCCTTAAAAGCAGGCCAAGCTTTGGGATAGCAGAGATATGAATCAGTAATTCTTATTTTTATTTAAGAAACAGGGTCTCTCTCTGTTGCCCAAGCTAGAGTATAGTGGCCCAATCACAGCTCACTGCAACCTTGAACTCCTGAGCTCAAGCACTCCTCCTGCCTCATCCTCCCAAGTAGCTAGGACCACAGGTGCTACCACCATGCTTAACCAGTTTTTTTAAAATTTTTTTGCAGAGATAGGATCTTGCTATATTGCCCAGGCTGGTATCACACTCCTGGCCTCAAGCAATCCTCGAATCTCAGCCTCCCAGAGTGCTGGGATTACAGGTGTGAGCCACTACACCCAGCCAGTAAGGTTTTTTAAATGTTGTTATGCATGCTCCAAAGTCACATAAAAATATCTGTATGACTTGCATTTCACAAGCTACACACAAGGGCAGGCTGGCAGCAGCCTCTGAAAGGCAGAGAGGTCCCACGGCCTGCGCCTGGGAGATGCTGTGGAAAGGTGGCAGGACCCTGCACAGGTGGGCGCTATCTCACAGGAGATGAGGCAGACTGAAAACTCCAGAAGAAACTCCCAGGCCACTGTGCTACCCCCGCAGTGTCAGGTGCAGCCACCATCCTCCAGGGCTCTGCGGTGCGGACCAGTCACCGTGGGTGCCCCAGGCTTGAGTCTGCACTTCCCCAGCTCAGAACCCCCAAGACACCCACTGCTCAGTCTGCCTGGCGTCTGGTCCTAAGCTGCTCTGCCCACGGGCCGCACCGCCCTCCTACCACACAGGTCTGTGGCACCTGATCCTCTCTCTGTAACAGCAGAAGCATTCTAGTTACACAAGCACAGGCAGTGACATGGGTTTTACATGGAACACAGTTTCTTCCACTTTTATGTTCCAAGTCAACGTGAAAAACGCTGATAGAAGCTCTGGCTGTTGAATTTAAGGGAAAAGTGCCACGTGGCAGTCTGCTTTAAAACGATTCTCTCTGGATGGTCCTTTACAAAATTCAACCTATGTGTTTCTCCAAAAATGGATCTGTGATGCTCTCCTGAGAGCAGGAACAGGGATGATTTATCACGTGGCTACGCGTACCAGGGCTGCTCCACTCTCGGCTGGCATTGAGTAACGTATGTCAGCGACTGGGGCGAATCACAGCCCAGCGGGCCACTGCGGAACACTACACACTACCACCTTTCTTTATGTCCAGAACATGGCGCCCCACTCACTGAGAGACCCACTTACTGGTGGAAAACTTACATAAATAGAAACAGTTCTGTGACGAAAACATCCATAGTATATAATTATACTCAATTTGGGATGACCTTTATAACCACCATGACACACACGCTCCTCTAACATATGTGGTCGTAACAGCTACAAAATCATCTGTTTACTTCTGAAACCGAAGCTTCCACTAATACCCAGGCTGTCCCTGACCTAGAGTCCAACTAAGGCCTGGGCAGGGGGTGGGGAGGCCCCTGACTGCCCCTGTGCCAGGAGGAAGGGACGGTGGCGCCACCCCTTTTTCCAATTCCAAACAGCTGGAGCTTTGGGGGAATGGCCCCAGCGAATCCTGTTCTCTAATTAAACGTTGAGGGTTCAAAGTTCCCAGGGAGCACGGGCACACTGCCCGCTCCGTGCCCGCAGCGTTCCAGGTAAGAGCCCGGCACGCTCCGAGGCATACTATGGGAAGTGAAGTAGCGTGACTATCCTGCTTTGGAAATCTGTTGACAGACAGGCCTGTGGTCATTAGCTGGGAAATCCGGGCACTGCCTTCCTGGGAAAACACATCATCACTACCCTTGAATCGTCTCCATGGTGTCGGCTTCTATCTAAAGGAGATGACACAAACCCACTCATCAACCATCCCTCCAGCCGAGCTCTGCACTCACGTATGTAACTGTCCACTGGACTCTGCCTAAATATCCAACGGACCCGAAAATCAGCACCTTGAAAACCAAGCTCACTGCCTTCCTCCCGATCTGGTCCTGCCCTTGTGCTCGGCACCGTCCTCCGCCAGGAACGCCAGAGATCCGAGACTCCCCCAGGCCTCCCCACGCCCCTCCCAGCCTCAGAACTGCACCCAGTAGACTGGACTCTTCACGGGGGCTTTCTCCTTCTCTCCGCCCCTCGGTCACAGCCTTAGCTCGGGGCCCCCGTCTTTCATGGCCTAATACGACAGTTTCCCACCTCCTTCATGCACACTGCCGCCAGCCGCCGTTCTACAGCTCCCATCTGCTCAGGCCCCTCCAGGCACTCCCTATCGACCTGGAACCAAGTTCACAATCCTCGGCTGGCCGCTCGCGTCCTGTATACTCCAGCACCCCCTCTCTGGCCCTCAGGGACCCCGCACCACACCCCCGATCTTCCCACTGCTCTTCCCAGCCCCGGCCCCAGCCCTGCCCACAACAGGGGCTGGGTCGTGCAGCCGCGGCCGTGCTTCCCTCCGCTGGCAGCCCTGCCCATCCAGCAAACACCGATTCATCTCTCAGCTCTTCGGCGACACTTCTTGCCCAACTGCCCCCGTCAATCTCCAGCGACCATGGCACATACTTTTGTCACAGCCCCTGTGACACATGCTTGTGCATATCCTCACCGTCTGCTCCAGACCCAGTGAGCTTCACAAGCAGGAAACAGGTCTTATTTATTTTTGTTTCCTGGTAGCCTAGTTCAGTGCCTGCCACACAACAAGGGCTTGATCAATGCAGCATGGATGAACCTAAAGCCTTACGCTATCTGAACGAATGAAGATAACCCCTCTGTACCTCAGAGACGCCTAACCAAGTTAACGTCCCCCAGTGACTGGCCTCTCAGTCCCAGCGCAGATGCCCTCTCTGCTCCCCATCCTGCCACAGGCGGAAGTAAGATGACTGGAGCAAGTTACAGAAATGAACAGCAGCCAGGACTTCACAGCCAACACCACCCAAGTACCGTCAGCCTCCAAGATGACTGAATCGAAAAGGAAGAACTCTCTAAGATCTCTGACACCAAATACTGTCTCAGGATTTGTATCTATTTCAGGTTTTTAAATGGGAAGCTTCTATGTTTACCCCATCAAAGCATGTAGAAGAAGATATGTTTCGTGTTGAAAAGGCGACCGTGGTAGCCAAACCATCAGAGTGACTCTGTGCTGTCTCCCAGCTGTCACTCTGTCTGCGGTGCTGGAGGGGAACGCCCTCTGCGGGCACTTCCCGACCGCCGCAGGCACCCACCTTGTCCGCCTCGGGCTCGGCGGGCGGCACCGGGGCCTCTGAGGGTGCAGCAGTCTCCGGAGCCCCCGTCTCCGCTCTCTGCAGCTGCGACTCCACGTACTCTCTCAGTGACTCCAAGTCCCGCTTTCCTTTATACTGATCGACCTGTCCGAGACACACACCGTACAGAAATGCTGCGGAGTGAGTGACACAGGTGCTCTGAATCACTTATCCCCGCTCCGACCCCACTCCTGACCCACTTGCCCAGGTCAGACGCCACCAGCTGTGCTAGCTGCAGTGTGTGTGCCGGGCTACGCCTCCGTGCTCACACTCGGACGGGAAAGTAGAGACCACAAGCCGGGTGTCTTGGCTTTGGTGAGAGAACTTTACAGGTCCCTCTTCCCTTTAGCGGGGGTTGGGGAGTTCAGGTCATGAAAGTCTCGGCCGAAGGCCTGCCAGCGAGCCGGGAGCCCACCAGGGACTGCGAGCAGCTGACCATCAGCCAGGGACGGAAGGAGGGAGGGAGGCAGAACCTCACCGCCGGCAAGCGCCAACCTGGAAGGCTTGTGTTCCTGACCAGAGCACGGTCACCCTGTGACTGCAGATCTGGGTTATCCCAGCAATCCCCCGAGCCACTGAAACGTTTCAAAGCAGTGTAACAAGTGACAGTTTTTCTCAACTGCCCAAATCTTACTGATGAAGAGAAACACATTTGTTCCACTACACGTACTCCCCAAAACCAGGGCCCAAATAATCGATACTGACAATTCACTGTACCCACTAAATCTGCGTTCCCCAATCTCCAGGCCTCCGCCTGGCCCTGGTCTGTGGCCTGTTAGGAAAAGAGCCACGTGTCACTGCCTGAGTTCTGTACCACCCTCCCGCCACCACCCCGCCCCTGCGGTCTGTGGGAACATTGTCTTCCATGAAACTGGTCCCTCCCTGGTGCCAAAAAGGCTGGGGACCGCTGCACTAAACCACTCAACAGCCCAGCCCT